GCAACCTCCAACTCCTGGGCTCAAGCCAGTCTCCTGCCTCCGCCTCCCAAGTAGCTGGGACCACAGGCGCCTGCCACAACGCCCGGCTATTTTTTTTTTGGTTGCAGCCGTCATTGTTGTTTTTTGGCGGGTCCGGGCTGGGGATTCGAACCCGCCACCCTAGGTGTACGTGGCTGGCGCCCCTAGCCGGTTGAGCTATAGGCGCCGAGCCGGTAACTCTAATTTCTAATAGTTCTTACTTTCCCTCTCTTCTTTCAAACCCACTGCCACCACATTTCAGATGCTTAACTCTTGCCTTAAGATTTCCTTCATTCCAATTTGCTCCCTTCAAATCCTTCCCCTCTACAGACAAAATGATTCAACACAATCGTGTGACTGTCATTCTAATACTTAAAACTTCTCCACGATTCTAATGGCTAAGGGAAAACCTCTGTTTTCCCAGCATCTAGAAACTACACAAGCAAAATGCTCAACAAATGTTTACTTGGATTAATGAATCACATGAGAAAGATAAACCCATATGATGACAGAAGAAAGATGAAATTACAGGGTCAGGGAAGAGATGGTGTCATCACTCTAGAACCACAAAGACTAAGCCTTCAGCCAGGGAGGTGTCTGTCTGTCTGTCTCTCCCCGCCCCCCCGAGGCTACAGAGAAGCTGCTTCAGTCCAGAGCATGCAATCCAAGGTTATTATTTCTATGAAGGCTGACAAACTTTGATTGTTTAGATATAAAAAGTGATTTCTTTTTCTTTTTTTAAGAGATTACTTTGTCACCCTTGGTAGAATGCCATAGCATCACAGCTCACAGCAACCTCCAGCTTTGGGCTTAGGCGATTCTCTTGCCTTAGCCTTCTCAGGCGATTCTCAGTCCTCAGCCCAGTAGCTGGGACTACAGGCGCTGGCCACAACACCCGGCTATTTTTGTTGTTGTTGTTGTTGCAGTTTGGCCGGGGTCAGGCTTGAACCCACCACCCTCGGTATATGGGGCGGGCACCCTACTCACTGAGCAACAGGCACTGCCCCTAAAAAGCAGTTTCTATACAAGTGATTATTAAAAAGTTATATAATGTGGCATTCTAAGTAAAAAAAAAGAGGCAGATGACATTTTGGGATCCAGAAAATGTAAAAACACAGCTATCTGAAACACAATTATCTGAAAATTTTTATTTATGTACAGCACTCTTAAAACATGGGTTGCTTCCAACCCTCAGGGTTTTTTGTCCCTATTAAATTCTACAATTTACACAATAGAAAGCTTTATCCTTATCAACATAATCAGTTTTTATAAGCCATGCAGTTATCTTTGCACATCATTTTGCTCAAATATGTATCTAATTAGTTTTCTTCCAAATCCTACTTAGAGAATGACATTTTTATTTTTATTTATTTTTATTTTTTTTTTTTTTTGAGACAGAGCCTCAAGCTATCCCCCTGGGCAGAGTGCCATGGCATTACAGCTCACAGCAACCTCCAACTCCTGGGCTCAA